AATAACTGCCACAAATCACACGTTTTTCTTTACCTGTATATAAAATTTTGTAAAAGAATTCTAGGAATAATATTTGCTACAGATTTTAATACAAAATTCACATGAAAGTCACATGTAATAAGATAAATTTTAGTAGTGTTATTTCAATCAATATGCATATTTTTTACGAAGTTTTTCTTTTATATAATTATGTTAATTTCTTATCTATTCTCCAATAAATAAATTGATTTCGAACAATAGATGTGTCCTTAATTATATTTTTTTACTCTTTTATTTATTTGAATTAATTTGAGATCTCCTTCCTCTCATTCTTTATTATATTGTTCACGATCCAGAGATTTTAGAATATCAAAAAGATCTTAACATATTAATCAATTCACCCGTCACTACATAAAAAAAAAATCGCTTGTGGCGGGTTTAAAATAGGTGCTGGCTGCTGGGAAAGTGTAAGAATTTATTTTGGCGTCCTTAATTGTTTTATATAAAAATAATTACTGGCAGTTTTTAACGGCCAAAATTTGCTTTTTTTAAAGATGTTTTTAACATAAATGTCTCCGGGCGCTTTTTGCAACTTTTAACCCGCAGAAAAAATGCATTACTTTCTACCATCATGACTCCAACAAATAGAACAAAATACTAAAGTAAATATTTTCTTAAAATAATTATAAAATCTTCGTAATTAAGATAAAAAGAAACGGTAAATCACACCATTTAAAAGTATTAATTTCTCTAAAATAAATCCTGAGACAAGCTTACATCTTTTAGACTAAATTGAAGCAACATTCCAATATTCATGTATTAGAATAAACTATTACTATATAGGAAAAAGTAACCGACTTTTTATGGAAGAAGCTACATTGAATAGGAATAAGAATAGGATCAAAAGCCTCTTCACACTTCAATGGTAAAATGCAAAACCAATTTAAGCTGATATACTTGCCTTGATGCTCTGGGCAGTTCTGTTTCACTTGGCTCTTACTAATTACAGGGACTTCTAATATATTTATGGCACACATATAATTAAATGGTCATCTGGAAAAAGTAAAGTACTAAAAAATAAATTAATATATTTCTGCTGGAGTTATATCAGAATAACAGAATCAAGTTCTCATTTATTCTGTTTCTTATCTTAGTTGAAATTTATTCTGTAGTTTAAAACTAATTTATTCTGTTTCTTATCTTATTGTATACTGGGTTAAAAATCATATCTCGTACCTCTATATATTGCTGTGTAACTCTCAGTTTAATATATGAAAAATTCTATTCATATTTCCATTATCCTATAATTTCTATTTTTAATTAAAATTATAAAAGAATAATTTATTTGATATTTTCAAACAAAGTTGAAGGAAGGAAAATAGGATAAATGTTAAATCATATTAATGAATCCTCATAACAATTATCTTAGTTTCTTTGATGAATGATTACAGGATTTTGTGTTTTATAGACGTTATTAAACATGTTTCTTTTATTATCTTACATTTTTGTTTGTGCAATGTATTATGGAGGATGTAACATTAATAATATTTAACTTGATACCTCAAATTTCATATTATCAACTAATATTTTAAGATTAATTACGAACCAATTAACAATGTTATCTCAATTAAGATTTCAAATCACACAAACATAAACCAAAAACTCACTCTCCTTGGTAGAATTTATGTTTCTTGATCTAGTTCTTAGGTGCATATAAAAAGTAAAAGTGAGTCATTAATACCAAATTCAAATTGTATTATTATTAACGAAAAACTCCACCAATGATGGGAGGTCAGAGGGTAGTATGTAGCTTCCAAAGAAAGAACCATTAAAGTCGTAGTTTTAAGCCTTAAGAAACAAAACTCAAAGTATAGGAAGCTGAAGAAATTGTAAAATCTAGATAGGCAAAAAAATAAATTGCAATAAACTAAAAAAGAAATTTTAAACTTTAGCATGTTATTTCCACACATAGGCCAAATGAATTTTCTAAAAACTACAAACCTTGTGAATTTCCTACCAAAATAAACTCGGAGTTGGACTAGAGACCACAATTTCCTCTCAAAAAGGCATGGCACACTTGTTGTTCCTATATTACCATCTATCCAATAAGGTATTCCACTAGCAGCCACCATCACGAAGATACATACGCATTAGAAGTATTTTGTGCTTTCTATGAGGATCAACTTACACAGATATAATTGCCCTAGTCTGTTATTTCCATATTGGAATCATTTGGGGAAATATGCAACAGATCAAACAAAGCTTCACCTAGATATTAGACAAAATGGTTAGCTCAAAATTATTCAATTATGAGTGTCCATAGATAATAAGAGATTGTCACGTAAGGATGAAGTTATGCACAAATATGAGAATACCATGATCAAAGTATATGGTCTATGGAAGAAATTTAGAAATATTCTAATTTACATGTAAAAAAAAAAAAACCAAGATTACTAATAAGTGAACCAAAATATTAAAATTTTGGAACTCAACTGGAAAACAAAAACTTTACCACACCTTCTATGTTAAGATCCCAGACAACATAACTGACTTTCAAGATAGTAAGAAATATGAGTCACCTCGTTAATACATGATAGAAGGCATGATAATATAGGTACGGAAAATCTACAACAACATCACAAATAAGTTCGAGAAGGAACAGAGCAGCTAAAACAAGTGTTGCAATACAACAAAATTTGTTATTAATGACAATTATTTAATGGCAATAATTTAATTGCTGCCATATATAAAAATATTAATGGCTAATATATAATAGCCACTAAAAATGTATTTATATTACACTAAAGTTTACTATTAGCGACAATTATTTATTAGAAAAAACTTAAGTCCCACATCGATTAGAGATAAGATAATTAAATAGTATATAAGTGAGTAATAACTATCACCTTATAGGTTCATTTTATAGGGTTGACTCCTAATTCACTATTCTAAATTGGTATCAAATCACCCATTGTTATCAAGTTCAATAGTGCTATAAAACAATTAGAGAGCAACTTTCACCTTATAAATCTCACATCTCAAGAGACAAGACAATTAAAAAAATAAATTAAAAAATATAGAAATAAAAGACAACTCTCATCTTACAAATCCCACATCGAGTAGAGATAAAAAAGTATATAAGTTATGAATTTAGAAAAGAAAATTATAGGAATAAATTATTTAAAGTAAAGGAGACAATTGAAAAAAATAATTTTTGATAGCTTTTAAAATGGCTACTAAAATTGTCACTAAAAAAAAATAAGTTTTTTCAACAATTTAGTAGATCTTTACCGGCATTTTATATAAATGTCAGTAATAGTATTAGCGACACTGAATACACCAGCCATTATTTAAATACTGGTAAAAAAATAATGGTCATTTATATGGCTGCTAAATAATAAATTAATTGCCACAAAAAACTAATTTTGGTGTAGTGTTGGTGAATTTTTTTACCCAATTTTTGTATCCGATCTAATCTAACAAATGTGTAAAACATGGAAAAGAATGGTGATTACAAAATAATAATAATAATAATAATAATAATAATAATAATAATAATAATAATAATAATAATAAAGAGCATGTGTACCAACTACCAAAAATTATCATGTGTATAATCAACTCTTTGCGACACCCTTCTACGTACCCCAAGGATTTAATAAATTAAATATAATAAAATCCTAGAAAATAAAACAGTTATAATAATAATACTTATAAATTGGCAAAAAGGGTTCACATCTTTCATAACTGCATAAAATAAAAACTTATAAAGCATCATTTCAAAAGGAATAAAACATCTTAAATCAAATAAGTTCTAATAATAAAACAATTTAAAATAAATCCAACTTAAAAAAATACTAATGTTAGACTCAGTCCCGATGTCATACTATCAGAGCAATATTCCTCTTTATTATCCTTTTTCTTTAAACTCATCATTTTATACCTACTTTATTCTTACAAATGATGTTTAGGCTAAACACAAACATACAAATACAAGGAGTGAGAATATATACGAAGCATAAAAATAGCCACACACACAATTCATACAACAATTAAATCATATACATTTTCACCAATTCCTCTCATATAATGTTAATAACAAGTTAACATATTACATTTAATTTATCATCATCATTCCATCAATCACAAATTTATCATATTCATCAATTCAAACTCATGAGATGTATGCTGCTAACTCTACATGCATATATATGGTACTATTCTCCTCCTCATTAATGAGTGTATAGAATAGCCTAGGAGTAATGAAAGGGGACCATCCCATCGAATAGTGTAGGGACCACTCTGCAACAATGATCCCCCTGAATCATCTCATTAGAGGATGTTATCAGGTTTCTGTCAAAGTGTTCCAGTTGGCCATGATAACTTCCCATTCTTAACAGAGGTTTCCCCACCATAACACTCCCAAAGCATAGATTGATGGCCTACGATATCGCACTTGCATATAGACTTACACTATCCCATGAAACAAAGTATGCATGCATGGAATCAATACACACATCATAACAAAATAATATGCATGACTCATCTCCATGAGTGCCAGTTTGTAATACTGGACTTATTCATCTCATCTCATCAGCAATACTTTCATAATATGCATCACCATAATATTCATAACAAAGACTCAATGATATCTCAACATAAATCTTCATACATCAACTCAATCATATCTCATCACAATATACTTCATCACAACTCAACTTCACATTACATCATCATTCATCATATTATCACTATATACACCATCATCATAACATCATCACACAATATAAGATTATATATTATCATTACTCATACTATTCATTCATTGCATATTATAGCATCATAACATGATTCATTGGTGTCTCAAACATTATACACATAATTCTTAGTTCAACCAGCCACATTTCATATCACATGTAGACACAAAATCTTGAGATTAAACACTTAACGAATAAAACAACTCACAAACTCTCTTTTTACTTATAGACGAACTTCGTGCCCGAGTTGTAGGGTACATTCAGATGGAAGAGCACACTGCTTTTCGTGACCAAGTTCCCAACAAATCATAAGGAAAGCAAGAACTAGGTCAGGGCACAAACATTTAAAGTTGGCGACCTTGTTTGGTAGGGTGAGAGAGGCAAGAATAGACCCCTCAGAAGGGAAATTCGGTACTTGGAATGTCACCCAATATTCTCAGCTGTTGGAGAATGCAAGTATGTTAAGGCCATTCCTCATGGAAGTGGGGGGTTACTCGACTCTGACACTCTTTATGGTCTTGCTCGTGATCTACCACGCAGCCCAAGAAGGTGCTTTCAATTACTTTTATGGATTTAAATTGCTCACAAGCATTACAATGCATCAGAAGATAGTATAATGGAATATATATGTCATGCAGACATGAATTAGACAGACTATCTCGTAATGAAATTGATATTGCAAGATAAATCTAAAATGGACCACGCCATTGTGAACTCACTCCTATAGCTTTATCACTAATAATTGTTACTTATGTTTTATGAAGTACTCCAGTGTTTGTTACTAGCAATTGACCAACACATTAAGAACCATTTCAGGTATACAGCAGAGAATTCTGTGAAGTTTGGGGCTCCTCGGGATACGGATCACCCTGAACTAAGACAGCCACTAGCCATGGAAGTTTGGGAGTCTATATTGAAAACAACTAAACCCAAGTCTAAGATTACAGTATTAACCAATGGACCCTTGACTAATCTGGCAAAGGTTGTATCAATGAAAAACATGAGCTCTAGAATTGAGGTGAGTCATAGTATATATAAATTTGTTATCATCTATTTGAAATAGTTATATATTTCAACAAAAAAATCAGCTGCTATGAAAGTGGAATAGAGAGTCACTAACCCCAGAAAAAAAATAATAATTCTGGTCATTTTGGTAAAATTAGCCAAATGGAAACACTTATTGTACTGATAGCATGGAATAAAAATTCCAAAACGTTGCAGGAGATCTATGTAGTCGGGGGACACATAAGCATCAATGCAAATGACAAGGGAAACATCTTTTCAGTTCCTTCCAACCAATATGCAGAATTCAACATGTTCCTTGATCCTTTAGCAGCCAAGACAGTGTTTGAATCAAAAGTTAGCATGACACTCATTCCACTGAGTACACAGCGCAGAGTAAGTTCGTTTCCAAGCATCATAGGCGAGTTGCGAAGGACACCAAGAACACCCGAGGCTGTGTTTTCCGAGCGTCTATTGTCAACTCTATACCGTTTAAAGCGAACCCATTACAGATATCAGCATATGGTATAATTTTATTTTATTTTTTCTAGCTTAGTCCTCTTTCACATTATAACTTCACTAGTTATTCAAAAACTTCATTATTGCTTGTGGCATAAAAAGGAGAATAACCAACTTTAACATGATGTCTCTTTTGTGTTTGTAGGACACATTCTTGGGGGAAATTCTTGGTGCAGTTGTGTTGGGTGATAGGCGTTCAGGTCTTGATCCAAAGTTTAAGGTGAAGGAAGTTAAAGTGTTGGCTGATGGTGATGAATGGAGTGATGGAAGAATTGTGGTGGATGAGAAAGGTGGAAAATTAGTGAGAATTTTAAGCAGTGTGGATGTACTTTCATAATATGCATCACCATAATATTCATAACAACGAATCAATGATATCTCAACATAAATCTTCATACATAAACTCAATCATATCTCATCACAATATACTTCATCACAATTTAACTTCACATTACATCATCATTCATCATATTATCACTATACACCATCATCATAACATCATCATACAGTATAAGATTATACATTATCATTACTCATACTATTCATTCATCACATATTATAGCATCATAACATGATTCATTGGTGTCTCAAACATTATACACATAATTCTTAGTTCAAACAACCACATTTCATATCACATGTAGGCACAAAATCTTGAGATTAAACACTTAACGACTAAAACAACTCACAAACTCTCTCTTTTTATCTTAAACTTTTATGACTTCATGTGGTCTATACGAGTTATCTAGAGATGTATCTATGTTATTAAATTGATCTTAATTATATTAGAAAGTTAAGATAATTATTTACAACTTCTATGTTAACTTTAAGATTTGATTTTTGGATGATTCTAGTGTCATTGGCCGTTAACATCCAAGGCTACATTTATTATGAAAACAAAAAAAGTAATTTAGATTTTTAAAGAATGCACGAGGATGCATAAAATAAGCACAATCATACTTCACTAAAATTCAACATGCACAGGTGTGCTTAATTAAGCATGCTTGTGATTTCCTCAAATTCATCCATGGACGGGCATGCTTCCTTCAGCATGATCATCGTACCTCTTGCATAGACATCCTTTCTTCAAGCAAGACCATGCTTAACAATCTAGGGCGAAATCACATCGGACTCAATTGCTTCACACATGATTCTTTATTTACATCAAATCTAAAATTATCAAATACTCATATAATCATCCCAAAATTAAATATCAAACTCTAATAATTTTTCTAAATTAAAACAAATTATCACACTAAACTCCCAAACTATGCATACAACTCTAAACCTTATATATAACAATCCTAACTCTCAAAATGCATAATCTCAATATAAATTTAATCAATTCATCAAATAAGAACCATAGCATACAACAACAATGTAAGTTCAATCAAATTCATATTGAAGAGGTTTCCCTCAAATAGATAACCTAAGAGGCTTGGGATTCGCCTCTCTATCTTTATCCCCAACACATGCTTAGAACTTGATAATTTCCCCCCCTAGAGTAATGACAAGTCTCACGGAATGGTGTCCCTCCTATAACTTCTACCATCAAATTGTGATTTCTCTAACAACCTCCTCTAGTTCTCCTCATGTGAGCTTTTAGGATTTTATAAACACGTGCAAACTAACCTAACCCTATCTAACCTCTTATATTTGAATTAACCTCTAGGTTGGATCCAAAGTCTAATCCAAATGTTTTCAATGAGCTATTTCCATTTAATTTTATTGATAAAATATATTCCTTTTTTATTTCTAATTATTCTAATTCATTATTTATTTATTTAAAAAAAAATAGGATGATATATTATTTGTTTTTATATAACAATATTTATTTGTTGTATTGGTTTTCTTTAAAAAAATAATTTTGAAAGGTCTTGTTCTCATAACATGTCAGACAACACTATGTACTTGATCCTATTTTACCAATTTCTTATAATAATGTAATGTCGAAACACAAACACTCCGTAGCAAACAATAAGTCACGGGGAAAAAGGGATTAAAAATAATTCTCAAACTAAGAAAGGAAAATACAATGCAAAACCTAGCTAGCTAGCTACTTGGTGTTTATTTTTGTGTGTGTGAAAGCTTATTAGTTATGATTAATCATCGATCATACTTCAATTTAGGAGGCGTAGGCATTTTAAATATGGAGTAAATGGATGATTGGGAGTGAGCCATCAATTTCTCTCCCATCTCTAGAAGCATCTCTCCGTAAAGTAACAACATGGCTCCATTTTGAGCCATCTGGTTAGCCCTTTGTACCTCATCCTCATTGGTTGAACTTAGATTAAGCTTCTTAATCTTCAGAACATACTCTCCATGGTCTACAATCTCAAGGTCAACGACCGCAAAATCACCATCTAACAATTGTTTGTCCTCAGACTTTTTGGGGACTTTATAAGATGGTTTATGCGCATCCATGCTTTCAACTACACGCAACATAAACAAATAGTTATCCATTAAAAAAAAAGAAGTAAAGTTACATTATTGATATACATATTTCCTATAATATTATTTTTCGCTTTATTATTTATCTTTATATACATATTTTATGTTCATGATTTTCCTTTATTCTTTATAAGTTGCATAAGAATACATTTTCAACTAATTAGAAAATTAAAATCATATTTAATATTGTTAATATTGTAACAATCTTTGATCTTTATACTTAATTAATTAATTATATGTTTGGTTGTTTTTTTTAATGTTGATATGTTGCATTTTTTTCGTTTGTAGTTCTAAGGGTTAAGAAATTCTTGAGAGTTAAGTCATTTTTGTAGTAGTTTTAGTTAGGGGCAGGTTAACCAAGTTTAGAAAAATGTATTTAAGGATTTTCTTAAGACATGAATTTTATATGTTTATATCTTAAAGAAAGTTAGAGAAAAGCTAGAGAAATAAGATTTGGAGTTAGAGAGATCCTTTGCTTCTATTAATTCTACAAGAACCTTTTAGATCATTCCTTTAGCAGAGAAATAGTAGTTGATTGGTGGCTTCAAGCTGGTGAATTGAGAATCAAGGTCTTAGTTAGTCATACAACAAGCTTTCTGGAAAGTCTCTATTCTTCATCATCTTCTATTACCTTTCTTGTTTTTTGATCTTCTAAGTTGTAAGTGTTGATTTTCTTTGTTGAGTCTTGCTTTAGTAAGCATTTTCTGTTGAATTTGAGGATAAAAGTTGATGTTCTTAGTTTTTCTTGGTTAAGGTGGAAAGTTGATGATTTGTGATGCATTTGTTGTTTCATTTTTGCCTTTCTTTCCAATTTTGAGTAAAATGTTATTCATATATGATAGATTCTAAGTTTCATATATGAATTTTTGTTTTGAATGAGAGGATTTTGGAGTTGGTATGTTGTTCTTGAGATTGCTCAGTTTGTTCTTGAATTCATGCAAGTTTTTTGGGCTTGCTCACTCAGAGCACCCATGGGGTCATGTAAGCGTGCAACTGGACCATTTTAGGGGGAATCTCTGACTAGACTCACTTAAAGCGAATATTAGGTGCTTAGAGAAAATTTTGGTAGCTCAGAATGAGAACTTATTCACTTAAAGCAAGTTCCTGAGACCATTTCAAAGGTGCTAGCTAACTTGGCTTGCTTAGAGTGAATTTCAAGCATTCATAGTGAATTCCAGTCGCTCTAAGCTAGCTATTGGGCTCCAAATGAATCCTAATCTTTCCAAACAAGCATTGGGTGCTTGAATCTCCTATTTCCCATTTAAACTTGTAATTTTCTCAACTTATCTTATTTTGTATGTTTTTTACATGATGTACGATGAAGATTGAATTTAGTTCATTATAAATTAATCTATGATGATGTATGATGATGATGATTTAAGTTGTTTAATTTGAAAGTTTCCTATTGTTGGAAGTTAATTAATTTGAAAGTTGTTTACTGTTGAATTTATATGAAAAGAAAAGTTGCACGATGATCAATTATATAGACATATGATGAATGTTTAAGTTGAATTGCAAAAAAAGAAAGAGGAGAGGAAAAATTATTTTATAAATTAAATTTCCTATTGTGTGGATATAAGTTGTGGTGCTTAGAGAGTCCAAAGTTGATAACCCTTCAGTGAGTAAGTTGTCTCTTGAATGAGAAGTTATTTAACTCATCTTCTCTAGGTTTTCATCTTGAACAATATGATGGAGGCCGAACCATACTTGTTGGCGATTGAATAAGGTACAAGGTTGGGGCTAGAAATCCCTAAGTATTAAAAAGGTGCATAGTATTTGAAGGGTAGTCAACAAGCTAATATAATTTCATATAGGCTTATTTGTGCATGTTAAGGTTGTGATAGACTCATATTCAATTTGTTTTATCCCTGACAGTAATACTGACCTTTTCTAGTATAAGTGACGAAACTTGAGAAACTAATTTTGGTCACTATGCTAACTATTGTTTCTAGTTTTTACACCAGTCATTGTAGTTTGGTAGTTCAAGTCACTTATACTGCTCACCCCAGTTATAAAAGATCTCCATAAATTGATATGTGTGATGATGCATGTTTTTTTAGTTGTTTAGTTGTGTTTGGAGTTGATCATTTGTTTATTAGTTGTATGAGTTGTTTATTTGTTGATTAATTGTTAGTAGATTACTATCAGCTGCTTCTATGAATCAGTGGTGGATGATATAAGTTGTTTATGTTGATGAAATGAAGTTATTGTTTCTTTATATGGTATTATGCTGCTTCTTACACAAGCTTATATTTTCTTTTCCTTTTTGTTGGATATTGTAATGGCTATACTTAATACGGGAGCATGACAAGATTAACTTGTTGGTGGATAATCATGATTCATGTTGGAGATGATTTGTTTTGAGTATAATGTTTTGATATAGTATTGTTCTATAGAAACGCTTGATCAATAATAGAGTTATCTTGTATACAATAATATATATTTGATGTATATTATATATATATATGTATATATATATATAATCTCATAAAAAAACTTTATGTTTTTTAGTTATATTTAAAGAAGAACGTCAACTTCCTTGATATTACAATTTAGATTAATTAACATTATTTGCTTTGACTATTGTTCGACTCTTATTTTTCGTAAATTTTTTAATATTTTTTTGTAGTAAAAATAAAGTCAATTTTTAGAAGGCCAAAAATATATTTGACCTGATTTTTAAAAGTAATCTCTTGATTGTAGCATATATTTACATCTCTTGACCATGGTTGATATTAAATTAAAAAAATTCAACTATATATGTACACGAGGCACTAATTCGGCTTTGTTTTTTTAACCAGTAATTATAATAAGGTTATAAAAAATATTTTAAAATAAAATCAATCTTAAAAACCACTTCGATATATTTTTAGTACGTATATGATAATTTAACTAATTTTAAATTCAGTCCTCCATTTTTTTTTTATATTTAGTTCTAATATACTTTTGGTTTAAAAAAATGTCTATCAATCCTTAAAAAATTGGTTTCAATCAAAAAACATATGTAATATGTATTTAAACATGTTTTGAAAATAATGATTAACGAAACATCTGAAAACATGTCATATAATTAACAAGTGATAATCGAAATTATTTTAATAAAAAAATAAAATTTATAAAAACTAAAACGATAACTATTCGAATAGAAATTATTCATATTTTTTAAAGAAAAAAAAAATCGTAGTTAATCGTAGAAATAAATAAGACAGCGTGTATATGAAATTTGCAAATTAAAGAAAAAAAAAATAAAGAATAACATATTTACCCGGTTGTCTGGTTAATGGTGGTTTTCTGTCCACTTTGATGGCGTTTAACGTCTTAAAAGCATTATCTTTGAACTCATCTTGTCCTTGTTTTTTTTCTGGTTGGTTTGGAATCATGGATCCATGAGAAGACTTGGGATAGCAGTACTGCTCTATTTGGTACGCAAAAGTGGCACACAAGAGCGACACAGTGAGACAGAGGGAGATCAGAGACGGTGAAATGGTTGAACCCTTCATGGTGATGAAAATTCAAGAGGTGTAGTTGACGCGTTTGGAAGGGGAGGTTTGGTATTTATTTATTCGGGCAGTTTGAAAAATTTAAGAGGTGGGGCAGAAAAAAAGGTAAAAGGTAGAATGGTAGAAGAAAATGTTTTTAAATTACTTTGCCCAACTGTCCCTTATTAAAAATATAGTTTAATCAAATTTTTTTAGATTTTATAGTATGATATATTTTTTACCCATAAAATGGTGAATAAAGGATGATACTTGAATTATCATTTAATTTAAGAATTCTCAATATGTTATTAGATTCATACTTAATAATTAATCAAAGTTTAACATACAATTATTTATTAAATGTTAATATTATATTATATATTTTTAGCACAATTTTACATTAAATTTTTTTATTTATATGTTTATAGTGTTTTAATTTAGCTATTGGAATCAGTAAACACGCGAACGAGTATATTCAACATCGACTTTTACTTCCACGTTTATCTTTCATTTTTAGGTTAATTTACTATTTAATTTTTCTTTTTATAGTATGCTTCCTAAAAGATATCTATCTGGAAGTGAGTAAAAAAAAAAAAAAGGAAAAGTTAATAAAATTACAACAAGAAGCTCTTCATAAATTTATTTTTAAAAAGGTAGGTTCTCATGAAAATCTTGATCAATCAAATATTTTACATAATAAAAACAATGAAAATAAAAATGATGAAATTAATGATTTAAGTAAAGCTAATGATGTACCAAATGAATCATCTAATATTGAAAATATTGGAATTGACCAAGAACAATTAATTCTTCCTTTAAATATTTATGATCCTAGAAATTGCGGTAATCTTAACAACAAAACACGAGACATTTAAGTTGAAAAAGGGCTTATAAGAGAAATTAGTCTTGTTTTTCTCTTAAATAACACTTCTAGACATTTATCATATGTTTATTATTCTGGAAAGTTGAGTAATAATGAAATTAATTATAGGAAATGGTTAGTTTAATCCGAACATGTTGACGGTGTATATTATTTTTGTTGTATGTTGTTCATATGATAATAAAAAGAGTGCTTTGACAATTGAAGGCTTTACAAATTGGAAGCGAATTAGTGAAATATTTAAATATTATAAGAATAGTTTTGAGCATATGAATAACATGAATACTTGGAATGAAGTTAGATCATAGTAAGATTGAATAAAAAACCAAACAATTGATAAAAATTTATATCAAGAGGTTCACAAAGAGAAAAAATGTTGGAGACAAGTTTTACATAAAATATTTTTTTGTTTTTTGTTGTGAAATGTCTTGCTAAACGTAATTTGGCTTTCCAAGGATCCAATAAAAATTATATTAAGATAGCAATGATAATTTTGTGGGATTAATTAAAATAGTTGCAAAATTTGATTTAATAATGCAAAATCATGTTAAACTTATTCAAAATCGTGAAATTTATTATGATTATCTTGGCCATAAAATTTAAAAAGAATTGATCTCACTTTTTGGCCATTAATATTAGAAGTTCCATTATAAAATCTATTAAAGAAGCCAAATATTTTTCGGTATTTCTCAATTATATATCGGATATAAAAACTATTAAAGAAGCATACAATCCTCGTTGCACGAAATGTTCGTGGATGGAACTAAAATTAACGTGACAATATATTCACGGATGGAATTAGCACAAAATTTTCAAATTTTGTATTTTTAAAATTAGGAGAATTAAATATATATTTCAAGATTTAGAGTTTAAAATTACAGATTAAAAAAAATAAAGTGATTAAAAATATAATTTAACCTATAAAAATATATATAAATCTACAACCGTATTAATATTATTAACTAAATTAATTAGTTTTCTAAATCATTATAATTAAATAAATTATTTGATCTTATGAAATCAATCGGAAGAATATAATGTTATCTTCTCCATCCATTTGTTGTCCCATTGATTTAATGTTTATTTATGAGTTTGTTGTATGTCACTTCACTTCTCTCAAGTTCACTGATTGTGTTCTATCTTCAATAAATTCTTTTTTTTTTTTTTTCTCAATTTGATGATAAACTTATAAATTTCCTTTGGACATGCACTCCGTCTGTATTTTAGAAGAGTAATGCTATATTTTTTACAATATTTTTTGTTTACGAAAATAATTTAATATATTTAATATCTTAAGATATAAAAAGATCGACGTTTACTATCCCAATAAAAAAAGTCTGATAATTAGGAGAAGAATGCAATAGAAAGATTTAAAATTAATATCTTTCACAAATAAACTTACCTGCAAAATAATAAGAATCCCTCATAGTTGATGTGAGAACACTAGCCTGTTGTTGAGACTTGAGACTAAAAACAAAAGTCTTTGTAATTAATAAAGAAAACACTCTGTCCCACTGTAAAGAATCATACATAATTAATGTGATAATACTGGTGCGTTGTTGAGACTAAAAGCGAAAGTCTTCGTAATTAATAAAGAAAACACTCTGTCCCAATTAATAAAAAAAACACTCTGTCCCACTGATAAAGAATCATATGTAGAACACTAGTGTGTTGTTGCGAAAGTCTTCGCAATTAATAAAGAAAAGATATGTTCAACAGTAACAGAGAAGAATAGAGCAAGAATGTAGTATGATATCAACCCTAGCTAGCTAGTAGAAAATTAAATAAGCACCAAATACTCCTACAAATTTCCACCACCTTAACAAATATGTTCCAATGCATAAAAACAAACCAAAAAAAAAAACGAGTAGCACGTGCTGATAAGGTGTAGATAATTAGTTTATTTAAGTATATTATTAGGATACTGATTCCTGATTATATATAAAGAATACTTTATTTGAAAAAAATAAAATTTAATTTACAATTTTCTATAAAGTAGTTTCTAATTATCAATTATTTTTTTAAAATAAATAAATAGGGTGTGTTTGCGTTATCTGATGTGCAAATAGCATACCATCAACGAAGTAAAAAAATACTCATTGTATCTATATTTGTATATGAAAGATATTTTTTTTCTTGTTGTTGGCAGAAAATGAGGTAATCTAGGAATGCTCGAAAATCGGGGGCTTTCGAGGTCGCGGGTTATCGGAAATGGTAAAAGAAAAGTGTTAGGAATGGAAACATGTGAAGTACAAGAGAAATCAGGAGACACTCAAATACATCTTTCATGAAGTACTCGAAATCATTGAAGCTGCCACTTATGAAAAGGCTTTACAACTCAGCAATCTCTCAGTACAAGAAGTATTAGGAGGCACTCTTATACATATTTTACGAAACACTCGAAATCCTAGAAACTTCGCCACTCATGCGAATGCCCTACAGCTGCGCAATAGTTAAGATCATTTGTTAAGTTGAAACAACTACAAACTAGTTAATCCACATGCTGATCGATATTTAACTATTTGATTTAATTATTTAGGAAAATTATTAATACAATAGTTTAATTTTTTCCATAATAAATAATATATATAGATAACTCATACTTATATATAGATAACTCCATGATTAAAGAAAAAATTGTTATTATCAAATGTTATGCATGATGACATGTCCATTATTAATTTGTTTTGTAATTATTATTGGTAGTTTAATAATTGTTCCTTTGTTAGCAATTGCTTTATTGTGTTTGAAGTTGTGAAGGTGTTAAGATTTGTTTTGAAAGTCTTTTATCATTTGCACTTAGTTGTTTGTATGATGATCAAATATTAAATGATTTTACTCAATTCTTTCTTTAAATTATTAGTGAATGATTTCAATTGATACTTTACTTGAATTATTTATTATTTAACAATTAAGTTAATTCTTTCACAAGCTTACTCTTTTTTTTTTCTTGTGGGTTGAAATGTAATGATTATACTTATTATGAGAGCAAAACAAGATTAATAGGATGTCTTAGTTAGCTAATGGAGGGTCACGCTACTAGTGACCTAGTTTTGGTGATGTTACTTTGGTGTAGCATGATTATTGTATAGACGCTTGACCAACGATTAAGGATATTTTGTATACAATTACATAGTTTGTAAAGATTGTGTATATGTACAAGGTAAATATGTGATTGCATAAGCGAATTTATCATTTAGTCATCTATGCAAGAATTATTTTATGATTTTTGCCTCTATACATGTATATAATACATGAATGACCAAATAATTGTTGCATGAGAAACTTAGGATAGTTGAATACAATTTAGTATTTTTCCTATGTAGTAATTGTACTCACTAGTACACAATGCACATTTTACGTTGGTTATTTTAGGGGTTTTTACGTTAGAAAAACTTCCGACGTAGAAGCGGGAGACGTAAATTTACGTCGGGGCACAAAAACCGATGTAAATTTACGTTGAACATGCCAAGGTCTGACGTAAAAAAGTCATAAAAATTTAAATTAAAAAAAAGAAAAATGAGTGCAAGCAGAACGGGTCGTTTTGTTGGGAGAACAACCCGTTCTGATTGAAGAACGACCAGTTCTGCTTGATAACCCAGGATGCCATGTGTCATAAGTGTCACCTCGCTCCCCGAAATGCGCAGGCGGCGTGTTAATGGGAGGTGACGATTATGTAGACGTACCTTGCTAATATTAGGGTTTTTACTGTCTACCAACACTTTGGCATTGTTAGGGTTTTACCTTGTGATTGCGGCGTGGTGACAATATTGTATTTTTATCTGTTTGATGACGTGGCCTCTTTGAGCCGATGTGGTATTCCGATGTCCTTCTATTATTCATATTGATCTTGATACTTTGCAAAACCTTGAATCATTTAGGGGTGAGCAATTATCATGATATTACTTTCAATAGTGTTTGGTAATTGGGTTCTATTACTGATACATGTTGTACTGTAGATTCATTGTGTGTATTTCCACCCAAAAGTGTAAAGCTGAGAAAGCCATTTGCCATCCAACCCTGGATTAACTCAGAACAGAATGTTGGCAACCTTCTCATGGTATGTTGGTATTGTCAATCATTTATTGTTATATGGTAGGATAATGTTGCTCTGAACCTATTATCTCCAGCTCTGATACTGTCAATAGGGGAAAGGGGACTTTTACCCTTTCACAGTTTCTGACAGTGGTTTATGTCAGCTCATTCATGTTTTTTATTTGTTTTATATGCTTAATTGAAGATTCTGAATTTAAAGCTTGAAAGCTGTGGTCTGTTACTCTATTTCAGGTTTGGAAATTCTTGATTACTTTTGCTGATGTCCTTGAATTATGGCCTTTTACTATTGATGAGTTTGTACAGGCATTTCATGACTATGTGAGTAAATCTGGCCTTCACTATTGATTTTGTGCTGCATATGAACTGCATCTTTGTGTACTCTTTGCTCATTATGTATGTTCAATTCAAACCATTTCGATTGCAGGATTCTAGATTGTTGGGTGAGATACATGTTGCTCTGCTCAAGGTGATAATAAAAGACATTGAAGATGTTGCAAGGACACCTTCTACAGGAATAGGGATGAACCAGAATGGAGCCGCTAATCCTGGAGGTGGGCATCCAGAGATTGTGGAAGGAGTAAGTTGAAATGTATCTTAAATTTTATCTTTCCTTTTAAGACAAATACTAGATTTATCCTAGACTGTTGACTCTGACAATGCTGTCTTTGTTATGTTTTAGGCATATGCATGGGGCTTTGATATACGAAATTGGCAGAAGAACTTGAATCAGTTGACATGGCCGGAAATTTTCCGGCAGTCACAGGCGGGCGTACGCGAAAGGTCATTGCCCCTTGACGAGCTCGGTCTTAACTCCTCGACCCACGATCTTCGGAGCTCGGGGGGCTAGTGTACCATCCGTACCGCTATGACGAGCTCGGTCTTAACTCCTCGAACCACGGTCTTCAGAGCTCGGGGGGCTAGTGTACTATCCGTACCGCTATGATGAGCTCGGTCTTAACTCCTCGACCTACGGTCTTTGGAGCTCGGGGGGCTAGTGTACTATCCGTACCGCTATGCAGAGCTCGAACTCGACATTACAGCGCAGGACGACCTCAGACACGCGCTGGGCGACCTCGGCCAAGACGAGGTCCACATCTAATTAGGTCATAACTGATCTCAGGCCCAAGGCCCAACTAAACCCTAATCCACCAGAGATCTGACTTTGTTTATGTGTTTGTCCTTTCATTCTAGTGTAGATTTTAGTGTTAATGTTTGTTATGCATGATTGTTGTGTGTACATGTTGTTTGTGTTATATGTTGGTTTGTAGTATGTATTGTTTTGTGTTAGATGTTAATTGTTAGAATCATGCTTGAGTGGGCAAATATAGGGTGCATTTTGTTTGGAGTGTGAGGAATGAGGCAATTCTGTTTCTAGGTGGAAATAAGGCCTTCCCTTAAAAGAAAACTTAGGCAAATTGACCATGAAAGTGGCTACACGCCGGGCGTAACTCTTTTGCGCCCGGCTCAGTACCCAATTTTTGGTCTCTAGAACCCACCACGCCGGGCGCGCTTAAGTCACGCCCGGCGCGATATCAGATTTTGAAGCCTCATTGATTTTTACTGATATGAAGCCCGGCGCATCTGTGATGCGCCCGGCGCACAACATCCCTGACACCCAATATTGATCTATTTCAATCATGTTTCTTTATGTTCTGTTATGTGTTGTATGTTTGTGTGCATTGTGTTGCATTGTCATAGTCCAATTCCGTGTGCATGCATGTTGTGCTTATTTTTGGTCTAAGGATATTCTCCATGGTGTTATGGTTGCTTGGTCATCACTGTGTATAAATTTTGTGCTCACCATTTTGTTCTTCAGGATTACACTCTGCAACCACTTCTGGTTACCAGGACTTTCAGGCATATACTGGTTGGCCTGGGGACCAGGCTCCTAAGTTTGGGGGAGTGGAGCTGCTGATGATGGTGGAGCAGCTGACAATGATGATGACCAGACCTCATAGATGGAAGCAGATGGAGCCTACCTTAGTTTTCCTTTGTTTATTGCAATTTATTTTTCTGTCTTTTATTTTCAGTATTTTAACTATTTTTATATTTAGTTTCTTTTTGGTGATTACACTGTTGGTTCTTTTTGTGAATATTCTGCTTTAGCACGGTTTTTAATCTTGTTGATACTTGCTTTGCTTGTGGTCAATTCTGGATTGTAATTTGCTTGATGTTTGTGGTGCGTGTACTTTAGACATTCTTAAGTCACGTTAGATCTTTAGTTCATGACTAGTTGCATACGGGTTTCAATGTTGATCATAGGACTGAGCTGAGTTTGTTAATCTGTGGATGCATAGCCGGGTGAGGTTTGAGCCCAAATACTGATGAGTGAACTACACTTAAGTTGCATGATAGGTTTTGCTTGAGTTTCCCTGGTGGTTTGCTTATGTGGTGCACTTAGATGATCAAGGCATTCATATTCCTTTATTTTGATAACCATCTAAGCCAAAAAGCCATCTCCACTTTTACCTGACTCATAATTTCCTAAGCCTAAACACCACACCTTCCACTTATCCCAAATCGAGAAAAATTAACCATAACCTCTGCTGTGGTTAAGAGAGCAAATTGATAACATCAAACAAGTTTGGGAGAGTTGAATCCGCTGCGAGGGTTTTATGCTAAAAAGGTTTTTAATGAGGTACCATCAAATAATAAAAATCATTATTTTCAAATTGATTGACTCGCAGGAAAACTCGTGATTGATCGGTAAAAATCCGACTGGGCGAGTATAAATAACTCGAAGACCAAAACTCGTGATTGATCGGTTCCATTCCGACTGAGCGAGTATAAATAAATCGAAGACAAACTCGTGATTGATCTGTACAAATCCGACTGGGCGAGTATAAATAACTCGGAGACAAACTCGTGATTGATCGGTAAAAATCCGACTGGGCGAGTATAAATAACTCGAAGACCAAAACTCGTGATCGATTGGTTCTAATCCGACTGGGCGAATATAAATAACTCGAAGACAAACTCGTGATTGATCGGTTCCAATCCGATTGGGCGAGTATAAATAACTCGAAGACCAAACTCGTGATTGATCGGTAAAAATCCGACTGGGCGAGTATAAATAACTCGAAGACCAAACTCGTGATTGATCGGTAAAAATCCGACTGGGCGAGTATAAATAACTCGAAGACAGACCAAACTCGCGATTGATCGGTAAAATGCCGACTGGGCGGGTATAAATCTGGAGGGTCGGCTTGTCCCCATTCAACCCTTTCAATCGGTATATTGACGACAAAATATGAACTTGGTTACTCATACACAGTCAGATATCGGACGACCCTCTCATATGATTGATTTTTAAACTTAGATGATTTTCTTTACCTCGTTCAAGTCGGTATTTTGGCGACTAAATATGAAACTTGTTGCTTATTTCAATCGGATTTTGGACGATTTCATTTAATTGATTTTAAGCTTGGATTTTTTCCCTTATCTTGTTTAAGTCGGAATTTGGATGATCAAAGGTGAATTTTTATTACCAAAATGAATCGGAAATTGGGCGCCTCCTACGTTATTGATTTTAACTTGGAATAGTGCATTTACGTCCTTGAGTCGGAGTCCTAGCAATCAAAGATGAATTTTCTCACCAAAACGGAATCGGGATTCGAGCGACTGTAAGTACGGGACTCGGCATTTGGCCGAGTTTACTTGGAAAACTAATAGAATTTTGAGTACGGAACTCGGTGTTTGACCGATTGTCTATGGAAAACTTAGTTTTTAAACTTAGAAAACTTTTGTTTAAAAATCGGCATATGGCCAATTGTATTTGGGAAAAATACGTTTTAAAACTTGGAAGATTTTCATTGCGTCACCCGGAATTGTGGCGATCACTTTCTGTTTGAAAACCTCAAATGTTACAATATATTTTGGGGTCATTGGTCATTGCAATCGGAAATTAAATGATTATCTTTGGTTCAAAAATCCCCATTTTTAACTTAGAATTTTTCCTATTTGTCGTGTGCTCTCGGTATTTGGGCAACTGAACAACAGTTTTCGAAAACAATTAAGCTTGTAACTTAGAATTCTTCTCACTGGCCATTCGAGCTCGGTGTTTAGGCGACTAAATGGTCTTCAAAAAATCCTCAAGTTTCATAACTTAGAATTTTTCTCATGGATCAAGTGCGCTCGGTATTATCTCTTTCTTTAAATCGGAATTGGGGCGATTTGATTGTCAAAACTTAAAGGTTTAACTTAGAAAATCTTTCATCCTTCACTAAGTTAATGTCTCGTCATTCTGATCGGTAAATAGATGATTGCTAAAACGAAAGGACATCTCTTGTCAAGTCTCGAGGGATCAAGAATCGAAGCGACAGACGCCCCAAAGACTACACCTTAAGCCTTTTCGCCTTATAGGCTCAAGGCCGGAAGGCAAGTGGACCGTCTCGGTCGTAGGCCGATTGGTATCACCGACTATAAGGACTACACCTTAAGCCTTTTCGCCTTATAGGCTCAAGGCTGGAAGGCAAGTGGACCGTCTCGGCCGTAGGCCGATTGGTATCACCGACTATAAGGACTACACCTTAAGCCTTTTCGCCTTATAGGCTCAAGGCTGGAAGGCAAGTGGACCGTCTCGGCCGTAGGCCGATTGGTATCACACATTTTCTTAACCAAGGTCGAGTTCGAACCTTAATATGCCAAGGTCGAGTCCGAACCTTGAGATCACATTTTCTTAACCAAGGTCGAGTTCGAACCTTGTTATGCCAAGGTCGAGTCTAAACCTTGAGACTACATTTTCTTAACCAAGATCGAGTTCGAACCTTGATATGCCAAGGTCGAGTCCGAACCTTGAGATCAAATTTTCTTAACCAAGGTCGAGTTCGAACCTTAATATGCCAAGGTCGAGTCCGAACCTTGAGATCACATTTTCTTAACCAAGGTCGAGCTCGATCCTTGAAGATCACATCTACTTAACAAGGTCGAATTTGAACCTTCAAACAACAAATTTGGGAGCTCCTAAAAAGCCCCTTCGCTCTTACATCACTCGGTGCTTGGGGGCAAGTGTACTGGCCAGCCGAGTTGCCGACTTGTCCCTCACCAATCTATTGACTCGGTCAAAGGTTTACCAGCCTGACCAAGTAGTAAACTCATTATTGTCGAGTTCCTCAGCTCGGCCATGAAACATGGACATCGGAATACCACATCGGCTCAAAGAGGCCACGTCATCAAACAGATAAAAATACAATATTGTCACCACGCCGCAATCACAAGGTAAAACCCTAACAATGCCAAAGTGTTGGTAGACAGTAAAAACCCTAATATTAGCAAGGTACGTCGACTTATCTCTAACAAGTGTGTTAGTGTTTCAGATATAAGTACAGGCAAGTTGAAGAATAGAGAATATGCATGCATTATCGTCTACACCAGAACCAAGAGATATGAGCTAAGCACTAGATAAAGGCTGATCAAATGAAGGGAATATCAGACGAAGACACTCACAAACACAGACACAAAAGAAATAAAGAACAAGACATGAGCAACCAAGATGAAGGGCAAAAGCTAACAAGACGACTGAGGAGGAGATCAAACGATCAAACGAAATCAAGCCCAGCACAAGAAGGAAAATAATGAAGCCTTAGATGATACAAGACCATGGACGCTAGACAAAGCTAAGTCAAAGCACCCCAAACAAAGTTAAGAGTGTGCATAGCTGACCAGACAGAGATTCAAAATAAACAGACGAAAACCAAGAAGCCCGGACTGCATCTAAAGACACAACGAGACAAACTACCTAGCACCCACACTCTCAGAAGAACACATGAAATCATCAAAATAAAAGAAGCGCTTATCCACAAATCAGAGTTACATGTGTCAGAGCAAGTACACCTACCAGTCAGCTAAGGATAACACCTCTGTAGTAACAGTATTAGGAAAGTACAGAGATATCTTAATGCCAGTCAGAAAAGCAAACATACAGTACAAAAGATCTCGTGAAGCGCAGATTCAGCAAGCAAACATTTATTGCAAAATCAAAGGCATTAAATGCAACAATCCATGAAGATTGTACAAACTAGATGAAAGAATCAAATGATGGCTAGGCAAGCATAAAAACAAAGTCTTCTCACGGATGGGAAAAGAATTTTTGCAGTGTACACACCCAATTTCGTCCGGGGGCACACAAATAAGGAAATGGACCTTCGCTATGAAGGGAAGGAGCTTTCAAAGCGGGCAAAATAACAAGACAGGACATTAGAAGGCTTAAAGGCCAAATAAGGTGATTTTAATAGCCTAGAACGGGCTGTTCCAAAATCGGAACGGGCCGTTCTGAACACTAGAACAGGCCATTCTGATATCAGAACGGGCCGTTCTAATGTGACAAAAATGCCTAAAGGGATCCACGCTGCATGCACAGAGATAAGTACATTTCAAATTCACATATTCATAATCCAAATAAAAAACATATACATACATGCATACATACATACATATATATAGAATATATATACCAAATAGTTTGGTATTTCCATAGTGTTACATTGGGTACTCAAGGGATTGATATTCAATATCCGCACCTAGGCCCGTAATGCGGGTGTAGATATTGGGTACTCAAGGGATTGATATTCAATATCCGCACCTAGGCTCTTTCTCTAAGGGATTAGGTTTGAGTAAACTTATGGGTTGACTAAGCAATGTATGTAACAAGAGATTAAGGATACATTAGTGTTATGTCTGGTGAAATCTGACCCCCACAATCTCTCATAACCACAATACCATTTCTACCCTTTTCCACTCTAAAACCAATATTTATTTATAGCTTTCATTCCAGTAGTCATGCTCTTCAATTCATATACATGACAAACTACAAATTGGAATTATTCTTTAGTCACGAATAGTCAATAAATGCTTATTTTACCTTCTAATCCCTGTGGATACGATATTTTTACTA